TTAAATATATTCCGAATCTTTACTTTCTGGGGGTTACGTATATTATTTTTATTCGCAAATATCTCTAACGTATGCCGACAAATATATATAAAATTATATTATTTGAAAATAGAAAACACCGCTTGGATTGTCAGGATAACTATGACCGTGGTCTGACTTTACACATTTTTGCAATGCCATTTTTTATCTCTTCTATTTTAATTAAACTTCAACTGGATTTGCATATTTTTATTTCGTTTTTGTTTCGTGGACAACTCTAGAAAATCTGCACCCAAATGCAATTTATTATCCAAGCAGGAAAATTCAATTTCATTTGAGTTTTTCATTGAATTCGTCGCAGTCAACAATAGTTTACCCCAAACTAATTCTGTGGTCCATTGAGAGCTCTGATTTATTGCATAATCAAAGAAGAGCTTAACCCTTGCCCTCACCAACTTTTCACTGGAAAACACTCGATACTCAGCAGTAATTGAATTTTCTCACTAAAGTTTTCGAGCACTCGAAACACTTTTCACTTCACATCAATTATCTGGCATGGAGCGTAGTGTCGTAAAGCAGTAAATGAGTTAGGAACATTTTGTCTTTTGTCTCGCTCCCCAACTCCGTCGACGTCGCCGTCGCCGTCGCCATCGCCAGCTCCATCTCTGCTGTGTGCTTCCGACTGATTTTTGCTACATTCCCACGCCCAATCACAGTGGGCAGCACGTAGTGCCAGCTAAATAACTCTTAATGAGTTTCTAATTAATTTCTATACTCTATAGTCACTGAAGTGGAGAAAGGTAACAAAGTTATTTGTAAATTAATGTAACAAACAAAAGGTGATGTCTATGGGATATTTCAATATAAAAGTCATGCTCGTACATATTTTATTATTTTCTATTGATAATAATTTTATATTTGACATTAATCAAAATTATGAGATTTTATATATATCATATCATTGTCAGTTTAGCTATCGTGTATTTTGGGTATTTTGAATTCGTTTTACAGCCCTTCTCTAAGGCTCATTTTACTGCCCAGCAAGTGCAGTGAACTCTGTCAGCGCTTCGTGCTATTCTCAATTGACCAAGTGAGAAATCAAATGGGGAACGCGATAGAAGGAGCGACCTATTATCGTGGTGTCAATGCCAAATTGAGTTGAATTGAAGCGCGGTGCGCAGTGCGCACCCGCCCTCATGAAGTACCGGATTCATAACTCATGTGCTCATGATTGTGTGCGCGTGTGTCTATGTTGCATATGCAACAATCTACATTACGATCAACAACTGCAACTTGTTGCAATAGCTGCTATGAGGGTCAGAGTCAAAGTTCAATAAAATCCAATTAAACTAGCGCAGCGCCTGGCCCCAGCGCAGCCCCAGCTTATGTCGCTGGCTTCTCGTCCCTTGCCCCTTGCCCCTTTTGTTGCTCTTGCTTTTTAGTTATGCGCCCGCAGACCTTTCAGCGCTTGCCTCGTAAATCTCAATGTCTGCGCCCCAAAATTAAAGAGTGTGAGACCTGCAACAATGTTGCAAAGTTGCAGGCATTTGATTTAATAAAAGGCAACGTGAACTTTCACCGGCGTTGGCTCAATTGAATTCTGCTGCTAAGCGCTACGTGCACCATGTTGCAAGTTGTGTTGTTGCACAGTGCTGCAACTTGGCTGCGCCTTGAACAACACACAGACATTCTCTTGCGCTGCGCCTTAATTTACTTTGCTATTTTTAGCATATTTATTGCACTGCACAAAAAGGGGGTCAACTATGCGGTTACCAGAGGTCAATTTATGTCTTGTTATTTCCTTGCATATTAAACCCCACCCTTTACCCCCTTGCTGCCGACTTTTTATGAGAGTTACTTCCGGCGACGACGACTCTGGGGCGGCAGCTAAGAGTTCTTGAATTCTGTAATTCTGTAATTCTTCTGCTAGCGAGTGGCTCACATTTTTTGCCATGCGTCATAGTTAAATGTTTTAAGAGCTGTTTAAGTGAGTGGAGTGAGTGGACTGAGGTCGTCCGAGCATGAGTAACATACATTTTGCTGCGCTCATCACATAATTTACTTAAATTCGGGTTATACTTTCGGTCATAAAGTGAAAAGTACGTGACATCTAACTAACAGCTGTTGGCGAGTTTTATGGAAATTGTCTCTTTATTATTATATTTTATTAAGAGGAGTCTCTTAAGATAAACGCAACTTTACGGATCTAATACTTCCGAAAGTAGTAATCTAGTAATAAAAAAAATGTTACTACAATATTTCATGAAATTTTATGATGAAAAAAAAACAGTAAATAAATAAAGTGTGAAAATTACATGCTAAAAAAAAATGGAATAATATTTGTTTTTCTGCTTATTGAATTTTCACTATCGTCGGGAATACTTTATATTTATAACTAATAACTAACAAATATTTAAAAAATGTTATTAAAATCTTCCGACTCTAACAAAAACAAATACCATTTTATGTACTTTGGATTTCTGTGCAGCGAAACTTATAAAATTCTCCAGACATTCATTCAGTATTCTAAATCTAAATAATTCAATGTACTTCAACTTCAGCTATCCTATGAGTTATAGCTTTATACACATACAGATATAAATACAACTCGTTATTTGTAGACTTCAAACCATTTACTATGCCAAGCACTCGTCTCTCCTTAGCCATCTTCTAATCGGCGTAATCCTTTCAAAGTCTTCAGTGGCTGCTTTGTCATCCATCACTTGCTGCAGGCAGCTCATACAGAACACTCAGCGCACTACAGCTACAGCTGCACCTACCTACCTACACACACTGCACACTCAATTGTGTTGCAATATTTAAATTTGGACTCAACGTCTGCTTGAACTCGACTCCTCACTCGAGAAAGTTGCATGCCCCGTTGCTGGTGCCTGGGCTGGCTTTTGAAACACTATCACAATAACACATCATTTGTCAGGCAAACAAATGATGTTGCATGTAACCTTATCATCTCATATCCGCCGCAGACAGCGGCCGGTGTGCTTGTGTGTGGTGTTAGCTGTCAGCTAAGGTCAAGCGCTAAGGTTAGACACATTGGCAGAGAGAAAGCCACGACACAATGCAGAGTGTCAAGTGGACGGACAGCGGACGAAGACAGACCTTAGACGCTGTTCTAGTGGACACCAGCACCAGAAGCAGCAGCTGCAGGACATGCAGGCGACACAAGGAGTTGCCAGCCTCGACAATGGCTGCTAATGAATAAACATGGCGTCGACTACACTTCCGCTTTGGAGTAATATACTCTATTTGTCAAAGTGTAGTTGGATTTACTAACAAATTGAGTGAGCTTCGATGGAGTATGCGCATAAGTTCATTGTGTATACTTGGTTGGATAAATATCTCAATTTGTGCGTGTGTGAGGGTTAAGTTGCCTATATCATAAAAAATACAGCTTAGTTTTGAAATGTCCCAGCATTTTCTCTTTAACATCGTAAGGCTAATCATATAAATAAATTGTTAAATATTCATATATCAAGCTGAAAGCCTTATTCTTTTCAGCCTTACTGAATATGTTAAAGAGAAAGATCTAGTTGACTTACGGAACACACATATATGAATGTGTAAAATGCATGATAAAGAAAAACACTTACGATTTCATATATGCCTGCACTTCTACAAAACCTCTCCATATAAAATTTGCTTTATCCCTCGAATTGACCAGCTATAGAGTTTTATCACTAAGAGTATGCACTCTTCCAATTGCGCGAATGTTCTTGCTCTCATCTGTTATTTTTTACGCTTGCGAGCTACGTATACGCCATGTGTTTTGGCTGCGATGAAGTTTTGCGCAAACAAGCAACAAATTTATTGGGACAACATCGAGTGTCCCATGGCGCATGGCGCGTACAATGTTTCGCCTCCACTTTTCATGTATTCCCCAGTCTGAAGTGGACAGCGGCGGGTCTGTCTCTCTGTCTGCCGGTCTGTGTCTGCGGTGCTGACATTGACGCGTCTAATGATCAGCCTCGTCGTCAGCTGTCACGCCCCCTGCCATAAAGCCCACAAAGCGGACAAATGAATTGTTTTTGGGGGTTATTCGATGTGGTGTCTTTACATCTTTCGGCCAGGCTTTGTTTATACCATTTAAGCTTTTAATGGCAACCACCACACCAACAGTTGGCAAATAGAACAGGAGCCGACCAAGCGAACTTCCGTCGGAGCCGCAGTCTGTTGGGCTTCAAAGGGGGGCTTACATTACTCATGCACTATGTGCCGCTCGTTGCCAAAGGCATTTAACCAAACCAAGTTTACTAAACGCACTGTCAGCAACAGCGCTGTCTATTAAGGATGCTTAGTTAAGATATTTTCGTTTCGCAGACGAGTTCAATAGTATTTGTTTTGATGGCGTTCGGCAGCTGATAAAATGAAACTTTGTGCCACAAAACTTCGGCTGTAAGTTGAAGGGCAAAGTTTTCACATGTGCACATGAGGCATAGTGGCTGCGAGAAGTTCTTGCACACGTGTCCTCGTCTAACGAAACATATTGTGTCAAATGAAGACAATGGAGACTGATGAGAAGTCATGAAATAAAATTCGTATATATTTTTAAATAGTTATGAACAAACTAAAGTGGCTTAGAATTTTTATTTTAAACATATTAATTTAAATTTACTAAAATTGTAATTAAATGACCAATATCTGATTCAGTATTCTAATTTAAAAATCTGTGGCAGACTTTTTATAATAATCGTTTCTAATTCCAAATATTTTTTCGATTGAAAAAGAGAATTTAAGGAAAACAATTTTAGTTCAATGATTCAACAAAAGTTATCTTAAAACCTAATTCAGGTCATTGAGCATACCAATTTAATTATAGTAAGGTTTACTTCTTGACTTGGAATCACAGATGTGCTTAAAATATCAAAGAWTATTTTCTCAGAACAAATCTATTCCATCGAAAAGAGAGAGGGCTTACTATCTATTATTTGAAAAAAATAAAATAAAATAAAATAAAAATAAAAATTATAATATAACGGTAATAAATACACTTTCTAATCTCCATCAACGTCTTTCGCTCTCTTTCAGAATTTTCCTCAACACTTTGGGCACAACATAGAGAACAAAAGATGAGCAGACGACGAAGTACAATCATGGGCAGCAGAAGCTGTCGGAGCAGTTGTCATTTGACAGGCATTGCCTGTGTGATGGCCCTGCTGCAGCTGGTGACACCCGGCCAGGGACACACACATCCTGTGCTCACATACAAGAATGCTTCGACGCAGTTGGGCCAGTTGGTCACATCGAGCACTCTGGTCTGGGAGACGTACGATCCGAAGGACTCCAAGCAAATGCAGTCGGCTGTCGAGGGCGGCAAATACATCTCGGATGAGGAGCACTATCCCATCTATGTGTGCCGCGTGACCATCGATGGAGTGCGCACCTCTGGCCACACCGAGAAGAAGCAGCAGCGGCACGTCTGCGTTGCAGAGCTCTTCAAGCACGCCATCAATGAGAACTTTGATGTGCTGATGAACCGTGGACACCTGGGCAAGATCGCTTGGAAGCATTGGACGAAGTTCAATGCGGGCATCCCGGTCGGCGCCATTCTCATTGGCGATGAGTCCTACATAGCGCGCCATCGTGCAGTGCATCCGCCGAATGCTGAGGGCGGCGAATCGCATCGCGGTGCGGACTACAATTTGGGACGACTGGAGCCCGTAGGTCTGGGCAAAATCAAGGTGGCGGAGAACGATCGGGAAAAGTACTATGACGATGGCGAAGTACTTGTGGAAACGGAGCCCTTCAGCTATGAGCTGCGAGACATCAAGCTGGACCGGCTGCGCACCAGCCTGCGCGAGAATATGACAGAGCTGGGTGAGTGGAGAGAGATATACAGTTACCAAAGTATAACCTAACTAAAATGGATTCTATTTCTCTTTATAGCCACCAGCGTTCTGGAGAACCGAGGCGACACTTACGCCACTATGGAGAAGATAATTAGCTACAGCTTTGACTATCTGCAGTACTGGGGCTCGCATGAGGGCGTGGCCAAGGGCCTGCCCACCAAGATCTACGAGAAGAATGTGGCCACGCCCGCCGAAATCAATTGGGCTCTGAAACGTAGCGAGAAGCGGCATGAGAATAAGGCCGTGTTCAGCAAGCTCTGGCCAGGCACGGCCATCAATGTGACGCTGCTCGGCAACTATGTGACTCTTGAGGCGCCCTACACCGCAAAGCTGTCCGCCTTCTACTACGACAGCGAAAGCGTTTCGCGCAAAATCAGCGCCGAGGTGAGTGTGCCAGCATACCTTTACGAATTCCGTTAATCTGGTGCTTCCTTTGCAGGTGCGCAAGAGCTATTTGAAGGATGTGAAGATGGAATTTAGTCCGGTTTATTGGATCGAGAATGGCACGCTGGTGCCAACAACCACCACCACGTCAACCACATCGACTACGACACATGCGACCACAACCAGCACCAACGAGCCCACGCCCATACATGAGCCGCCCATGGTGCGCGTCGAGCATGTGGGCGATAAGCATTCCGGACCCGATTCGCTGGAGAAAACTTTGAACGATTCAACCTCAACGAATGAGGTCAACTCACATGAAGCACCAGAGAACATGTCCTCCAAGGATGCAGCGCTCGCTGGCTTTGGAGTGGGCGGCAGCAACAACGCGATAGCCACAATACAGGCGACAGGATATGCAGTGATGGCGCTCGTCTCGATAATGCTGTTAAATCTGTAGATGGGCTTTGGGAGGGTCTCCCTCAATTAGCATAGCGTTTAATTGTTGTTGTTGTACCTGTTGTACCCGTCTTTGAGAGCGTGTCGTGTCTCGTAGGCATATGTAGAAGACACCGGCCCCAAAATGGAAAGATAGGCAGACATAATTAATAATTGATATATAGGACGCCACAAACGAACAAAGAACGAGACGATAACCGGTTAGCTTTCTGTGTGGGTGTTCAGTGGATATTAGAGGCGAACAAAAGTTGATATTTTTTATACTGTCCCCCAATGCCTGCTTTTTCTTCTATATATATATGGATATACATATATGTATGTACCGTAGCGAAAACAAATTTTAAGAGAGAAACACAAAACATTCCTAAACTAGCCCCTCACAAAAGGAAATGAATCAAAAGTAAATTTACATTTATATATAGTATATATATCTTGTATACCGATAAACCATATTTAACATTTTTTAAGCTGCTTTGCATAGTTCTTTATTTTTTTGTCTAATTTTCAGGCTTTTTTAGATATTAGTTTGTTAAGCGCAAAAGCATTCACAATAAGCTGTAGTAAAAGTAAATGAATTAATTGATTGGGCGCCTGATATAGAATTGCTATAAAGATATGTACGTTCTATGATATGATGTATATGTATATGTCTAAAATGTAAAATCTATGTAAAACATAAGTAATATATATATAATAATATATATATACATTTAAGTGAAAACACTCCAAATATGTAAATTAATTACTACTTTTATTTTGTTTGTCTGTGTCCTGCGTCTGCCCTAACCCGATACTCCCTACTCTTCAGCTTTATTTTGCTCGAATTCTTTATCCTAGTTTAACATACGCATGTATCTTGTATTTTGTTTTCAAATAAGCAAAGAATCTCCCAAAATAATTTTACAATTTTGTTTAAAGTAAACAGAAACAAAATAAAAAGAAATAAAGCTTGTAAATTAAAATTATTTGAAAACCTGTGTCGATTAATATACTTTTACCGATTGGCAGTTATTAATTAATTAATGGAAACACTTGCGTTTACTATAAGTTAAATTTCAATTTTGTGTATATATTGTATATTTAAATTTGAATATTTTTCCAAACGTTTCAAAGTTGCGTCTCTTAGGCATTTAAGTTCTTCACTTTCAACCTGAGTTTAAGCCCCAGCACTCACTTTGTCTATACCCAATATTTATTTGACCTGTTCTCAATCTTGTCTGAATTGAAATTAATTTTGAAATATTCTATAAACTTGTTTATCTCAAGTCAGCTGATCAAATTGYTGTCGATGCGATATAATTTGATACGATATGTTCGTGTGCTGTGTAAACATTCGCTTGCCTTGTACTTCAAAATGTTTACATAACTTGACATTCATTAGTTAAATGTAGCTGATGGATGGGTTTTGTTTTCTGTTTTCCTTATGGAAGTCGCCTCTAACACGATAGAGGCTGTCGGCTACATGTGAAGTAAATGCTTAGCCCAAGGCTAATTCTAATCAACTATCAAACTGTGGGAAAGGAAGTCGTTTTAAATCATCATCAAATTCAACTAATACTACGTTTAGATATTTTTTAATTTCTCTGCACTTGAATACCCTCTGTGTCTGTTGGCAGTAAACTTGTTTAATTTTAATTATTTATTTTATTGTCCTAAGTTAGGCATTCTTGAGGCGGGCCTTTAACGAGACCTCAATATACACCTCAAATGGTTTCTTTAGACACCATATAAATCGTTTCTAATTATCGCTATGATATATGCTTGACACAGCGCGTCATTAGACACACATTTATTACCCAATTACAACACCTGCAATTCTAGATTTATTTTTCAATACACTTCATGTAGTGAACAAGGAATATTGAGTTTATAATTTAATTTGTAACAATATCGATACTAACAAATTTATTACAGTTCTTGTTGATCAATGCCAAATCTCTGTCCAAAAATCTTAATGTACTAGCCAATGACTTTATGACCTTTCAAATATAATTTTAAATTCTTTGCGTAGTTCACTTGGTAATGAAATATTAAATTATTATATTAGACTTGATATGAGCATTAAAATACTTCTTATTTATTATTTTGGCCAACCTATTTCATAAAACTAAATAAGATTGCAGTCGGTTACTACCTGTTTTTAATTACTTGATGAAACTGAAATTCTATTCTGAAAGTAGTGCATTCACCTTTCGGTTAGAATCGTTCACTTATTTTTCTATTGTTTATAGCTTCTGTTAGCCAATTACAGCAAACGCTTTGACAGTTAGACAACATAACAATGGGATAAAGCACGTTGATATGCTGTAGATAAACAACCAGATGTCGTCTATTAGTCATCGGCTTCTTGGCCAGGTTCGGGGCTCGGGCCTCAAAAGATATTGCGGACCGGCTTTCAAGAGCCGCTAATTAGCTGCTTTTGTGAATTTAAATAACAAATTAGCGAATGGAACTGCCATGCAGTCTGGCTAGGGTCTCTCGATTATAATGCAAAGCGCGTTCCGATAATGATATATACGCTTGCTATGTGTGTGTCTGCGTGTGTGCGTGCACCTATACTTATCGTGTCTATTACCACGATTTTTTATTACACATCTGTTCAGGTGTCGGGGCTCTGCGCCGCTGTGAGCACTTCATAACAAAAGGTCTACCGAAAAAGCGGTTTTATTTTTTATTGTTGTTGCTTTGTAATTTTATTTTAAATTGGAATTTGCGTTAGTTGTTTTTATACCCTGAACCCATTGAAAATGGGAAATCAGGGTATAATGGTTTTGTTGAAATGTATGTAACAGGCAGAAGGAGGCGTGGCAGACCCCACAAAGTATATATATTCTTGATCAGGGNTATTCTAGCAGATTCTTAGAATCACATCAGCAGTTAGTTTCGTTTAGTTTTGGTAGATGGCGCTGCAGCAGTGAATCTATTTGAGTTTTGCCAGCGCCACTAGCAGGAGTGAGGTGGCCTAGTGTGTTAGCAGCGTGACGCTCGATCGAGGAGTCGCGGTTCGAATCCCGATCGATGCAACTGATGTTAATTTTTTTTTAATTGTTTCAAAATATTTTTATATTTTATTAAATGAGTTTGGTATTTTATTTATATTTTTAAATACATTGAAATTGAAATTKCAKCCATACTAAATGAGCATTTTTATTTGTTGGGTTCAGGGTAGTATCTAGTCGAGCACTCTCGACTAGARTTTTCTTACTTGTTGTTTCTCACTTGTTTATATACATACTTTTGTTGGAGATATATATTTTTAAAGCGTGACCACATGAAGTTGTTTTGCTTTAAACGGGTTCCCAGCTGATGCCAATTGAATTGCTGGCATTGTTAGCAATTGGGCGTGGCAGCCGCCCAATCTTTTGGCTCTTATGGCTTTGAGCCGCGGGGCACGTTTGTGCGTGTTGCGCCAATTTTATATATATGTATATATATATATATTTTTTTTCTTCGTTTTTGGGGCGGCGGTCGAGTTGATTAACCCCTGAACTCGTGCTGCGATTCGAGCAGTGGCTTTCGGCTCATTATGCGGTCGATGTATGTGGCAAATGGCAATTGGAATTTGATATATGCTCAATTTGAGCATCGTTGATGTGCTAAATGATGATGATAGTATCAATGGCATAGCATACGGATTGTTTAGAGCAGCATCAGCTGTTGGCTAATACCTTTGGCTGTTCAATTAAATCAAATGAACTGAGAAGTCTTTAAAGCTTTGTTGTGCATGAGAGTAAAGTAAAGTATCAATGCATATGCTATGTACTTGAGACATAGTCTAAGGACTTTTACGAAATATACTTTTAAAACAAAATTGTCTTTAAATTACCTTGAAATGTATAAATTTATATAAAAATATTTAGTTTCACTTAATGTTTACTCTGTAAGAATTATTTTATTTATCTCATTAAACTTATACCAATGAAATAAATCAAAATATTGAATATTTCTTCTTCTTTATATTCATTGATTTATTAATAAATATTCTACTTCAAACTTGCTGAATCTGTATCACTTTTCTATTATTTTGTGATATATATTTTCTTCTGTATTCCATTTCGCTAGCTCCATTCATTAATAAATGATTGAATTGTTATTTCTTTCAATTTCATCGTATTATCTATTCTGTTTCCAACAGATTAAGGAAGTTGTTTAGCTAACACACTCTTATATTACTTCAATTAATTTTGTAAATTTGCGTTTTCAATAGATTTAATTTATGCACGTCTTTTAATTTAAAAATTACATAAATTGCTTAAATATTTTTGCCTTTAGCAAAATATACCTTAATCCCCTGGTCATTTAATCGATTTTTATATCAATTAATTTGCTGTATTTTGCCCAAATTGCAAATCAAAATTGATTGCAACATATGAAAGCCCGGCCGCCAATTAGCTAGTAATCAAATTAAAATATGCGTTTGTTGTGGCTAAAGTTGTTTACTTATGTGTATATATTATTTTTTGTTTTTTGAGTATTCGCATAAATTGAAAAGTATTTGCCGCTCATTTATCGCTGCGAATTAATCTGCATATGTTTAGCATGCATTACCCTCGATGAGGATGAGGTGCATCTATCCTGAATTGTTCGTCGCGCTGCTTGGCTGGCTTTGGTCTAACCAAATTTTATGCATCGCCACGCTGAAACAAAAACCGAACTGCAACCCTTTGTTTTTTCACGGCTCTGGCTTTGGCTTTGCCTTTGGCTTTGACGTGTGTTAACTGAATTTTTTAACCGGCCGGCTTTGCAGGCCGCCAACCTGTGTCGAGGCTATCGGTGTGCAATCTGTTAACTGCATTCAGCCGTGACAATTGCCTGAGGTGAACCACTCTCCCTCTCCATCTCTGTATGTGTGTGTGTATGAGGGTGTGCAAGTGTATGTGTGTGCACATGAATATCAATACGAACTGCACTTTGCACAATTTACGTGCAGCTTCGTTGACGCTGTTTACGCTTCATAATTTGTTTGATATGCCCAGTACTTGCAATAGAGACAAGAGGGTATGACAGACTATACTACACTATACTATCTGTATGATTCTTATGATAACTCGGCATAGCTCGGCAGAGAGAAAAGGTATTCTGAGTGAAATTCTGTAGAGCTCAGATGTAAAATCCACTGATCAAGGTATAGACTTTTTCAGTTAATACACACAGAAGAATGCGATAAGGCAGTTTGATATCTATGGACTGTTTTAAAGTCGAATTATGATCTAATTTATTTTCCAGTTTACCTCTAACTTGTTTTTTAATTTCTCAAACATTCCTGATTTGCAGTGGAGCTTCTCGAAAATGAAATATTTTCATAAGAGGAAGCACAACACATGTATATATACATACATACATCATTCTTCTCAAATTTGTATACTAAACTTTCTCACACCAACTCGTAACTAACTACAGGGTATATGCCAGTCAATCATTCTCCACTGATCCAGTCTTACTCTATTCGTCATTTGCATTAGCTGACATAGTGTAACCCTTTCGCGTACCTTAGGGGTAGCATATGTGACAGGGGTACGACTTTTATTGCAGGGGATAATGAATTCGAGATATTTATTGCTTGCGGGATTACGTTGACAGCCATTGTGAGGCATTTGATACACTCACTGGCATCAAGCAACATAACAGATGTATTTTTATTCACAATAAATTCAAGCTTAGCACATCTTCTAAAAGACTTTATTAGGCATCTGCTGAAGCTGAACTGGCCGTTGTTCTGGGGATAGCTGACCCACCTCTGTTGTAGATTAGCGGACCACCGCGTTGGCCAGAATTATAACTGCCCTGAACCCTCGAGCTGCTTGTTCCTTGGGCGGCAGCTGAGGCCAACAGGCCAATTATAACTACAAATATTATTGCGAAACGCATATTCCTTGCTTCAACCCACAGAGCGAAACTGACTGCTGATCTACGGTTTCTACTGGTATTTATACACTACACTATAGAGAGACGGGAACTACTAAAAAGTACCCAGCAGCTGCAAACGTCATAGTCTATTATTGGTTTTGTTTGTCGCAATTAATTATTTCTATTTCAATTCTATTTTTAATGATAAAAAAAAAAAAACCTAAGTCCAGATTGTTTACGCTTACTTTCAAGAAAACACGTCATATGTTAAAAAGTACCGCTTAAGAACATAAATGAGAAATAATCAAAAAATAACTAAATGTATTTTATTGTATTTTTAAAATAAACATATTTACAGTAAATTAAAAAGTATTTCAGATATTACCAAAAAACTTGATAATTGAATGTGATGCTATGAATCCATTGCGAGCCCATAAATCAAACATAACAGATCTTGAGAACACGTAATAAATATAAATATACATGTGAAAATAATCTAATTCGTATTGTATTTTATGATTGATGTAAAGTCAAATAACATTTCCAATTGTATTACTTGAAGAGTTCACAAATAAATTCAATTTCAAATGTCATTATTTTGTGGTATTTACTGTAACGTTTTCAGCGAAAATCGAACTTCGACTAGTTAACAGTCTCTAAAGAACTAAATGAATATTAATTGGACTAAGGAAAAGTTTTCTATTGCATTATGCCAGCAGTGCTGTCCTTCATGTAACTTCTTTGGCGTACCACGGTGCGTATGAGCTATTCGAATTTCGTTTGTAATTGAACGCCGAGCGTTGCGCAAGTGCTCTGACTGGGTTGCTCAACTAACGGTACCGCAGAGAGCCATCTGCATATGGATAAATAAGCTCGCCCGAGAATTGTAACCGCACGCTCTTCGCATGGCCGCAGAGAGCAATGCGCACAGTGGGCTGAGACCGAATGTTGTGTAGTGAAAAAGAGGTAGAGTAGTAATATTAAATGGAAGTGAAATTGAATATAATAGAGTATATATATTTATTTAAAACGGGATTATATTATATCAAAAATATTATATTTTATTATTATTATTTTTCTTTAGATATGATTGAAATATTTAAGTTTATACTGTATCTATATTTATTTGGGTCAAAACTAAGACCTTAAGCTTATGTCTGTCTTGATTGATAGATATATGCTCAAATTATTTGCATCGTCTTGATTTATATTCAGCTAAATTTCTTTGCTTCCACTGTGCTGCACGTTTGCCCTCAATATGCCAACAAGTTACATTCGGCTAGCAAGTTGTGATGACGTCATTCCACTCATAAGCTGCCCACAAGCAGGCCATGCCCACACACACACACACATACAWACACACTTTTACAGTTATTGTAAGGGGCCCAAAAGTATGCCGCCTGCAACTAGCAACAGTTGCTGCTGGAACTTTTATCCGCTTTTCCTGGCGCTCGGCTCACGTTACCAGGCCCGAGAGAGCAATAGCGAGCCGTATGCCGAGCAACCGGAGCCGAGAGTACCGTTATCCGGGCCGTATAAAAAGCCAAGTGTGCTGGCTGCAGGACACAGTCAAACGAAAGACTTGCCTGCGAACGTGTCTGGGAAGCATCTGAAGCAGAGGCCGCAAAGAGACTTATTGTCCGTTAGATTTTGAAACAGTTTGAGAGTGACTGCGCACAGTGGTGCAAAGTGCTAATCCAATTCGATTTGTGACCGCGTGAAGTTCGCGTTCTGTGTGGAAGTTCGAAATAAATTAAACAGCTTCGTCTACGTTTCGACCGAGCACAATGCAGGCCGTGCACACAAATGCACAGAGGAGCCAATGGCTAGTGCTGCTCTTCGCCATGCTGCTGAATGCGGTAAGTACAAGGGGTGGGTCGGGGGGCTGGGTGGTGTGCGGATTATAAATTTTTTTCAAATTTGGGCATTTTTCAACGCCTGCATCAAGCAGACGAGTTATCAAAGCCCACAGCTATTTACTTGCGGTTTCACTTTCGCCATTTCCCCGGAGTGTCCGGTCGGAGAGGGGGACGTGCGTGCGCCGAGCCGTGAACTTCTGCGAAAACGCTTTTCGTATTTGGAAGTCGTCTTATCTCACGCTTTATTTTCTGCGTGGCGCATTACAATTTTTATTTAAACGGATTTGTGTCCAAACAAAACAGATTTCAATTATGTCCGACTGTTTGACAGTTGGGCGGAAATGAAAAGTACTTCATTCCTGTTATTCCAATAGCCTATACGTGGAAAAGAGCATAGCATTTTTAAATTGAATTATCCTCGTTGTTATCCTATTGCCTTTTCTATCTCGTTTTTCTTGTATTATGCAGAATAAATGAAATATTTAATTAAATATTGATTTTAGAGTTAGAGCTCCAAAGCTTTTGAATGCAATAATGCCTACGTTGATATCAGCTACACTATTTTAGACCCTTTCATCTTAAGAGAATTCGAGTATTTGGATACTAAATCATTATCTGTCAGCCTAAAATAATAATTAATAAAGAACAAACTTACTTTACGAATATTGCAGTCAATCATTGACGGCCTAACTAACTTTAAATATTATTTAGTTATAGATTGTTTAATATATGTACTTCTAACTTTTCATGCAGAAATGCAGAGCTTTAAAACTGTCTATGAGACAGTTTTCCTCAATCTGTTAGGCGTAGATATATACTAAAAAATAATAATATATTATTATTCAAAATACATTACTTATACTTATTAAAGATTATTTGATTATTTTTCTGTATTTTGTATAGCCGTGTAAAAAATGTTTAGTATTTTATGAAAGCATATCTTCCAATAAATATATAATTTTAATATTTCTATAATATTGGGTTGCACAAGTTACAGAATAGAATTTTAGCTTATCTTAGTAATTAGTTTCGTTTGAATTACATATATGCACATATCCATATCCACAAAATAGTTGCCATTATCATTGACCTTTTCTCCATTAATTTGAATCTAATATAATCTCCGTTGGCTCTGACATATTTTGATAATTATTTCAAAATTAGGTTTGCTTATCCCTAAACATTTTACGCCCACATTTTATGTAATAAATTATGTGGAACATGTTCGTCGCTCCTGCCACCCACACAATCACTAAATGAGAGAGACATTTACTGTCCTAGCTGGCTCTTGGGTGCTGCTACAGTACGCACTGGCACAGAATGGACTTGTTCTGGCTAAATTGTCTGCAATATTTCAATTGCACTCTGCGAACGCCTTTGCTATGCTGTAATTTATGTTGTAACCACGCCTGCCCATGGGGCAGCTGCAACAGTTGCCGCTGCGGCTGCCACAATGGGATACAGAAGGCATTTCCTGCCGTGCTCCGCCCCACTCTGTGCACATCCTTTCCGTCCAACCGTTTGGAGACACGTGCGACCTGCCCAAAGTGCAATATTTTTTCTCATCTTCATTTTCAGTTTCCTTTTTTCTGCTCGGAGAGTGAGCGCTGAACATTGAACAATTTATGTGGAATGTGGAACATTTTCTATTGTTGCCTGTTGACATTTGTTGACATTTGTCAACGTTTTGCCTGTGGTCGTGACCTGTCACCCCTTCCTTTCCCTTTCGTTCAAGAGCCGTGTCGTGACAGCTGTCCGTCATAAATGCGTGACTGAGGACGAAACTGTTGTGGCAAATTATTTTCTAAATCATAAACCAAGAGCAACATCTCTGTCTCTCTCTCCCTCTCTCTTCTAATATATATTTACTGGAATTTTGTATTTAAAAATTTGGTCATTTTAACACGCATACGCCACGACGTAACTGCACTAATTAAGTGCTCAAAGAAATGGATTAGATTACGGAAAACTCTCCTGCAGCTTTGCTTGGCCACACACAAGAAGGAATGTTGCAAAAGTTGTTAGCAACAGGCTCAAGTGACAGTTTGTCCTTGGCAGGAGGCGGGAGGCGGGGCAGGCAAGAGGCGTGGCCAAAGCAGCTTAATTGCGGTGGGTGCTTGAGCGTAATTAAAATCGTTGCAGAGCTTAAAACAAAGTGGTTTATAATCTACACAAGATTGTTGTCGTCTTAGCTGGGAGTAAATCGCTTAAAAATGTGCAAGAGCATTGAGCAGCAGTGCTTGAGTCAGGACGAGAAGATCCTTAAATATCCAAGACTGACCGACGGATAGATGAGCAACGTATAGATTAACTGACTGAGAGTTGAGCTTCACGTGGCAGTAAGCTCTAGAAAATATTTTTCTAAACTAGGGACTCTAAATATAAAAATATTAATTATATT